CCCCAATTCACATTTGTGCAGAGCACAGGATCTATGATAGCTGACAAATCCTACCTAGGCAAACAGCCCTCCAAAATCACTGCAGTTTTCCAGTGCAGTGGTATTGATAGCAGAGGGAAGCGATTACCTGTTGTACACCATTTTCCTTACTGAGAAAGGTGCGCGGCAGATAACTTGTTGCCATTTGGTGTTTGGGTTTTTTAATTAAAAAATACAATATATTCAGGTGACTTTCACCGTTACTTCCTGACTGCACAGAAGGCGCTCTACTCCCTTGTGGCTGACAAGATTAGATCACTAATTTGCAAAAGAACAACCTTTAGGCTCCAGCTTCCTGCAAGATGAGATGGGACATGGACGTGCACTAAATAGGGCAGCTCGAGGACTCATTGCAGTCACCTGCATTTCTGACATTTTCTAAGGACACTGATTGTGCCTGAGGATAGCAGGCTTTAGGAAAGCTGATGAGATCCTACACACATCCATGCTCTTGGTTCCTCCCACTTACAGCATGGACAACTGAGCCACTCGTAGCTCCTTTGCTGAATTACAACAGCTTACTCAGAAACACTATTTTAAAATAAACCATTACATTTTGTTTCATCCTGAATGTTATCCCACCATCCACCAACTTTCAAGTACTATGCCCATCATCCAAGCTTTCCCCCATCCATCCCAGCAGGAGCACACACCGCTGGGGTGCTCCTCAATCGCCCAGAGAAGCGCCAGGCAGCAGCAGGGCAATCCAAAAAAGCCACCACCAGCTTCAGTCTGCAGGGTGGGAAGGGGGTGGCTGTGTCAGAGGCCACCCCTCACAAAGCCCCTTTGCCTTGCCACTCACCGCTGTGGCCCCAGTGGGACTCTGCCGGGTGCCGCTATTCAGCTCACTGTGGGCTTCCTCGCTGTTAACGTCATGGCATGGTGGGGATCTAACTTCAGCAGCTGCAACATCCCTCGTTCTCTTGACCTAAACCCAGCGGGGACAGAGCAAGGACAGGGTGTCACAGGGATGGGCGGACTTGACATAGAAGACCAGGGTAAGAAGAGCTGTCAGCGGTGTGACCAGGAAGCAAAGCAAAGTTCATTGCCAGCGTTAATTACAAAGTCTCCAAGGTACAGAAGCTTCCTGGCCTTTACTGGAAGGATGGGCCTTGATTCCTCTCTTGTGTGCTGTGATGGAGGTACTTTCGCTTTTTCTCTTTCTTCGTTCCCCACCCTGTCTCCCTTTGGCACATCAGCACCATCGCAGGCAGGAATAATCCCTAAGGGACTATATCAGTGGATCAAGTAAACCCTATACTCAGCAGTGCTGCTTTCAGCAGCAGAAGGTGCCACTGCATCAGGGTACGCAAGTCAGGTATGACCCCATCCCAGGCTAGAGATAAGGTGGAGGTTAAAGTTTAGCACTTTCTGCTGGCAGAAGAATAGCCGCTATCAAAAAAACCGTGCCCCAAAATCCTTCAGGGGATTGATGTGAGTTCACTGCATTACAAAATGTTTCAAAGCTACTACTAGAATTGAACAGACATTAAAAAATTATGTACTAAAGTGTAATTTATTCCATGTAAATTCAAAGGAGATTCCACCATTCATTACAGGATCATACATTGGGCCCCACTGCTGTACTCTAAGATATAGGCAGGGTAAATCTGGTGCTTCTCAAAGATGACAAAGACGGAAGGGTCTGCTGGGTCATCCACGCAGCTGTCGTAAAGTCTGTTTGAATTGCTGGCTCTGGGTGGAGGGCGAAGGTATTCGGGGTTTCCTTGAACAAAGTCTCCAACAAGAACGTGAGCTACGAACATGCTGTAGCGACCACTGTGAGAGGAACAGTACTCATGAGAATAGCTGGCATCTCTGGCAAAGTAGCTTCCTAGGGACCAGAAAAAGCCACAGGTAAGAAAATGCATCAACTGAGGAACAAAAATCCTCTTTGGCAGCCTCGGGTAACCCTACGTGCATCCTTGCCGGCTGTTTCCACGTCGGCTTGCTTTAAAGCATAGACAGACTCTAGCCACATTTTGCCATCAACCTCCCAGTCCCACCTGTCCAACAGCAGGTACCTGAGGCAGAGGGGTGGCTTTAGTCCCTCCCAAAAGGGGTTTGATGCTGATGCTGCCTGCAGTGCTGCAGGTGCACCCAGGTGAGAGCACCCTAATGGCAGGAGTGCGGGGCCCAGGGACCATCCCCTTGCGCCCCCCCGCCAGCCTGGCCGGGGTCTGCAGCCCATGCTGCTATGGCCCCTGAACCCAAACTTCTGCCCTTGTACCTTTTCCATACATTGTCCCATGAATCCCACAGATCCTCCAGTCAAAGTTCTGCTCACAGATGGCAGGCATGTGGGACAGACTTGTCCCATGGAACAGGAGCCGCTCGTCTACCCATTTCGATTTACTGAGCTTCGTCATCTGCTCCTTTTGCCTAGGGACAGGAAAAAAAAAAAAAAAAGAATGACATTGTTACCCTGGTTCAGACGAGGACAATTTCCCAACGCACGTCCTCCTACTTTCGGGTTCACGGAGGAACAGTGACACAAACCACTCTCAGTGGGGTTACTGCCTGCTTTGCACTTCTGTTGGTACCCTGCTGCACAGCCAGCTCCTTCCAGCAAAACAAAAAGTTCTCAGCATCGCTATGGACTGTGTCACGCACAACTTCAGACCACACCAGAGAGTAGGGAGACAAACATCTCCACTGGGAATTGGTCAGTTCCCAGGTTATATAAATCCTGAATGCATAAATATGGTTATAAAACTGAGCTGTATGAAGCCACAGTGAAGACTGTATAATCTTCACCCTTACCTTTGTCACATAAAAAGTACTTTTTTTTTTTTTTTTTAAACTCCTATGTGGAAGAGACTAAACGGAAAAGAATAAATTTGAGATACTGCAGCTCAGTCATGGTGAAGGAAAAGAACTTTCTTTTTGAGTAACACCAGCAAGAACACCCCCCCACCACCACCTGTTAGGTTATGCAATAAAAGGTTCATTTCTACACACACAAAAGAGCACAGACAGCCCCAATAACCCAACTGCAGAGAAAGGAGCCCCAGCCCCTCCCAGGGATGCCCCAGGGGAGCCTCAGCCCTAGCGACCAGGGAGACACCCAGCACTGTGAGCAGTGGAAAGGGTCCAGAGCAGCTCATGGACATGAGGAGAGTACTGCCTATGAGGGGATGGGACTCCTT